CTTTCCAGCGGCTTGACGTTGAAGTGTTGGCGGTTCTATTGTTTTATTACGTATGGACATTGCACTTCTGAAATTTTTTTTTTTTTACCTCTCACATTCTCCACTATACTATCTCTTTCTTACCCCTTCCCCTTCCCTTTGCAGGACGGTGACAAGAATGCGCACACTAGCGTCCTACCAACTGTCCTGCATCCTTTCCAAGAGTAATTAAAATACATTGCCAAACAAACAACACACCGAAAGGTTCCTACATACTAAGTTCGGTCGTAACGCTGTCAGTCACAACTGTCGCACAGTATCTTCTCGTCTTGCGAGAAAATGATTTTGATGGTTTGAGAAAAAGACTTTGAGAGTTTACCATCAAGCACACGCCCAGAAAGTTGAACACAAGCTAAGACCTCGTTGAGATGCCGGTGACTTAGAAAAATGTTAACAACTTTCCCCGTTTTAAATTCGAGCGCGCTCGCATTTGAAAACTTCCAAAGCCGGGGTGATGCATCAATGACAGGCTCTGAACACGAGTCACGGCATTATCCGTGGTTCGAATGCACTGAGCCGAAAATTTCTCTACGAACTCGTTTTCATACGGCATTCGAAGCACGGATCTCGCCGTGACTGACGTTCGAATCTGTATGCAGACTGTCTTTTGTATGATGTATAATCAGTGAGACCCTGGCTTTACGTTGCGTTCTACCGCTGAAAATAGAACATCCTGGAAAAAGACACGGATGTTATACAACATCTAACTATACATAAAGGCCTCGCTCCCCACGCCTTGCGCTTGTGAATGGGGCCAGCTGAACATGGAAAACACACAGAGAAAAAATATAACATTCGCACCGCTGGACTAGCAACATTTAATGATTCCTCTTTTTCCTTTTCTGCTAATCCTTGATTCCGGTTTCCTTTTTCTTTACACTTAGATTTTTTAATTCTTTACACTTGATTTACGTTTTCTTTTTCTTTACGCTTAATTCGGAATTTCTCTTCCTTAAACGCATTGTCCTTTCTGCCTTCGGAATGTTCTCATCCCTTTTCTTCTGTCTCCCTTAAATGGTCTTCCTCTTCTTCTAATTTTGCCTGGTCCTCATGTCACTCCGCAGGAAAATCTTCTCGGAGTTGTGTAGTGCGACGGAAGGGGCACTAACACAGTCCTCCCCTTCTTCTTCGTTGGCTAGGGCTTCCAGGAGTTCACGGGCGAGTTGATTTTTATGGCGCCCCACGATGCTTACGTTGCACAAGGTTGCCCCGCATTGGCATGCGCGACAATGGGCAGCAAGGTGTCCTGCTGCTGTCACGTTTCGTAGAGATGTGGCATGTTCTCTGGTTCTATCGTTGATCAGCGCCCTGTCTGCCCAATATAACACCTTCCACATGTTAATGGAATGTTATAAATGACCTCTTTTTGACATTGGGCGTACTTTGTTTTGTGTGCGATGTTACATTCCTCTTGGTGCCTACGTTGGTCTTCGTTTACCCTGCCGCACATTGAATACCCTTTGTTTGGCGCGGAGCTTATCACTTGGACCCCTTGCCGGCCAGCGATCTTTTTTAGTCGGTGAGTGATGCCATGGAGATATGGTGCTACCACTATGGGACTTGCATTCTTTTTCTTTGTTGTTTGCTCGGTGCCTTCCTGTCCGCGCTTCAACTTCTGGGAGATCTTTTCACATATTGATACCAGTAGCGTTTCCGGATACCCAGCATCAAGTAGCCTGGATATCTGAGTGTCGAAACTCTTCTGGATCTGGTGTTCGCAAGACTTCTTTAAGGCAGATGTTAGTGCCGTGGTGGCGACCCCACGTTTCACGTTCTTTGAGTGTCCAGATTCGAATGGAAGGAACGCTTTGCAGGATCGAGCTTGGTATCGCCAGCAGACGTGGTCTTCTTTAAAGTCTAAGGCAAGATCGAGGAATCTGATAGATTTGTTTACGGGTAGTTCATGAGTGAACTCAAGTCCTGAGCAGCTCTGTTCAAAGCACCTCATGACATGCTCGCGGCAACCGTTGTTTTGTTCTTCTACCTCCGTGTTGCAAAGTATTAAAAAATCATCAACGTAGCGGAAGATGACTTCAACCCGGGGATCTTTCATGCTTCGTGAACCAACATGCTCAGCTTCAGCCAATAACAAGGCGCCTTGCGCTACACGATTCAGTGTTTTTATTTTGTTTTTTCTTCTTTCTATTGTTAGTAGCTGTATATGTTTTGTTTTTGTCCCATAAGATTCTATTGGTCTGTTAGTGTTCGCAGAGTCTGTGTCATGCCGTCACGATTAGAGCACGTTAAACCAAGTGTCTATCGTTTCAAGAAGGGTTCAGTTGAAATGTTTTATCTCGTCCTTCGTAGGCGTATACGCGGGCTTGGGTAATTCGAAACGGCCACCAAGCACGGCTCGCACGAGCTGCCAGCCGCTTGTGATTCAGAGAAAAGCTATGCGCTTGCTTAAACAGGCTTGCTGAGTGATAAAAAAAAACAAAAAAAAAACGCGGAGTGCTTCGCCCATTAATTGCGTGCACGTGCCGCAATGTCTCGAGAAAACTTGGGACCGCCCTTAATTCTGACATCCCAGCGTATCGCCCAGCGTACACTTTGAGCGGAATGTCGTTGCTTGTTCCGCGTTGTCCCAAAACAAGAATTTTTTTTTTTTGCAGCAAGTTTGTTTATTTTGAATTCTGAACATGGAAGTATCAGCATGTGAGGAGTCAGCCGAAAATAACTCTTAGCGCACCGAACGTGTTTAAAAAGCCTCTGACACGCCAATTTTTTTTTTTTTTTTTTTTCATGCTAGGCGTTAAAATGGGGTATCCGGACATCGCCGAAAAATTGTTTAACTTTACAGTTGCATAGATTTTTTATAAAAAAATAGAAATGCGAAGCCCAATTCAAAGTGCCCGCCAGTGCACTGTGACGTAACAATGTACCGCAAGGTGTCGGGGCGGTCAGAAGGGAGGCATCGCCGGAAGTTACGTGAGTTCTACCGCTCCTCGTGCTAACCGCGACCGCGTGTAGTATTTGTTTATATTTTTGTTATTCTCCGCACCTCCGCGAGCAATCAAGGCAGACAAGGTTTCTTTTATTTGCTTTTCATCGCCTAATGTTCCTGTAAAAGTAGAAGAAGAGGAGTCAGTGAACCTAGTAAACAAGTTCTACTCATGTTCTAGACAAAACACGTACTCTAGGCTCGACGTTTACTTGTACTCGGTGCACTCACGAGTTTGTATTCTCTAGATGGCAGGCATCTTCAGCCTAGAGAGTATCAGATGATTCAACGACATCGGTGTCTGAACCTTCAACACGGTGTAAGATACACTCTTTAGGTGAGGACACGGCGGGGCTGAACGCGCGGCGCGAGGAATCAGATAGTGTTCGTTCGATGGGCACCCGAAAGGCTGCATTATTCCGCGGCCACCGTACCCGCGGCTGACAGTGTCGCCGGCGGCCAAACGGCGAAACTGTGTGAGAGCGAAAAAAGTCATCTCGTTGCCACGACACCCCGGTACACCGTGGTCTTTGTGCGCGAGCGACAACCTCGCTGGAGCTCTGCGCGTGTGGAGCATGAGGCGGCACGAGCCGTCTTTACCGTGCCCACGGGTCGACGAGTCATCTGCCGGCGCCGCTTGAAACCATAGTGAGAGAGAGAAAGAGAGAGTGAAAAGCGAACTTTATCTGCACTGCGCGAGGAGCGCGCTGTCCTCACCTGAAGAGTGTTATCTTACACCGTGACCTTCAGCAATGCGATCGGGCGTGTCGTATGGTAGCAATCCTAATTCCTGCGAGCGTTCTAAATTTTTTGTTAAAACTCGGTAGCCTGGTGTGTGCCCAGTGTAGTTCTGTATCATCGGACTGATGGCATGCACTCGCACACTGGCTTGTACTCGGAACGCTTTCATCATTGACCTCCATCACGTCAATCCACTGACTCTGCGTCCTCAAATTTTACGGCACGCAAACTAACCAACGGTGCAGCGACAAAAAGCTAGTTGAACTGAAATTTCGTTTTCTACGATCACTCGTGGAGAAAACCAGAATAAAAAAAAAAAAAAAAATTCTTAGGCACGGTCGCGGAGAGCACGAGGAGTGAAACTCACGTGACTTCCGGTGAATCCACTTTTAGTGACGTAGGTCAATGCCTCTCTTCTGACCGCCCCGACACCTTGCGGTACACTGTTACGTCACAGGGCACTGGCGGGCACTTCAGAGGCCCTTTAAGCCCTAACCCTGAATAGATATCTGAATTTTCTTTCAATTCAGAGAGTCACTGTTGGAGGAGCAATGCTGTCTGTGTTGCATTGGATCTGGGTTTGAATACTTCGGCCATCCGATAGAAGGGAAGAGGAAAAAAAAACACAAAAAACCATGCCTGCCTCCTCTCGGGCGGCTATCAAATGGGATGGAATGCAATTCGCAACTTTCATGACCTATAGGGAGCGCACTGGCGCCTATCAAAATGGCTGTCATCGGGATGATCGGCGTTAAACAGCAGCACGAGGCTGAATCTGCGACGCGTAAGTAATCCTAGTTTTCCTATATACGAGCAGTATAAGAGCCTTACTTTATTTTTGATTTCTTTTTACGTCAGGAAGGTGTAGGCAAGCGCATCTAGGGTATTGTGAGGCTAATCATCCAGGAGCTAGGGAGCGCAATTCTCACAGCGCGGTACCACCATCGCTGACCCTTTGCACCTCTTTAGACGTCCGCCCAGCTCGGTCTGCATCACTGCGGCACTGCTTTCAAGTCAATTCTTTTTTAATTAACTTGATGTAAAACTAGACTCTAATTTTCCTCTAAATTTAGCTTTCCAGCCGTTACGGACGGACGTACACGATGTCAGGGTTTGGTGGCGCTAAAAATGGTGTCGAATTTATTATATTTTTTGACGTCATGGGTGACCAACCAGAGGGGCCGGATGACTCATCGATCGCGCGTGGTTCCGTTTTATCTCTCTTGACCTCTGGAAGCAGGGCAGCAAGTGTAGGGTGAGGTTGGTCGATGCATATAAGTTGAGCCCATCCAAAAAATGTTTAATAAACTTTTAGATGGAAGTACTAAAAGGGCTGAAAGAAAGTGTATTCGTCTAAAACGGCTCCAGGTCCTGGAAGGTTGTTAGGCTAGGAAAATTCTTTCTCTATGTCTTCCAGGATAAGCTCTTCCGTCAAGTCATATTCCAAAGGCTTTAAAAAATTGGTGTGGCCCCTGTAAAAAGAAAAAGAAAAGATAAGAAAAATGAGACCCAGATAAGGAGATGATTGCGAAACGTTGGGCAAACACAAAATGACACGTTATAACTAACCTGGATCACTCAGCGAATGGATGACCGCCAGTCTCTTAATTTCAAGACGGGTTTTAATAGGGACTTTTAGCGAACCGTTACAGTGTTCTGCGTGTACCGCACTGCTGGAGCCTTTGAGGAATGCTTTTAAGCGCGCGCCCGGAGTAATACCATGACATCGGGGCTCGCGCTTAAAAGCGTGCTTCCAAGGCTCCACCAGCCCGGCACGAGAAACACGCTAAGAGTTTGCTAAAGCCCCTAAAGAGCAAATGACGAAGCTCAAAATTAGATTAAATTAGAAAAGTTCCATCTGAAAAGGTACAAAAAGTGTGCCGTTTCACTTCATCGTTTGTCCCTTCTGCGCACATCGCATTTTTCAAATGCAATGATGGCTTTGTGATTCGCTTGGATACTTTTATTGTTTTGCCACGATGGCTGTCTTAGTGTTTCCAAGGAATGTTAACACACATATATTTTATTATTAGAGTGCACGTGTTCGTTGGGTTAATTAACCGTCCGTTTTGCACCCGTGATCACGTTCCCCGCCCGTACTCCCACGACGTGCATGGAGAAGGTTGTAGGATTTCCCTTGCTGTTGCCCATCTCGCATAATAACACAACGCACTGGTTCAACAAAACGTAGTCCTTTATTATTATTATTAACTGTTATCGCCAGCGCCGCGATTCAAAAAGCCCTCGCTGCGAGGGCCTTTTATCTGCTTTCATCAGCGGCGGAGCACCGCTCACGCGTGGCCAATTGCACCTGAACCCCTCGCGGTGGAAATGACGATGGGCGATTTAGATTTAGCATGCGGGCAACTTGTTCCGACGCTTTGGGTCCCCAGGTAGCCCACGAGGTTCAGGCGATGAAAGGCAGACGATTGATTGGCGCCATCATAAGTAGGATCTTTGCGAATTTGAGACGGCCCACGGTCGCAATCCTTTGTGGCCGGATCTCGAGCTCGAATCTCCGAGTGTCCTGCCGGACATTGACGCAGTGCTTGTATCCAATCGTTCGGCGGTAAGGCCTTCCCGAAAGCTGCCCATTTTGACCACCAGCCGCGCTGACTAGCGGCCGACCGAAGCGCCTCCTGTTCACTGCTCCAAAGCTATAGGCGCTGCAAGGACACCTTTCACTCGGCAAGCAATTCACGATTTCCCCAATGGACTTCGATCGACATTCACGGGCCAGGAACAAAGTTTGATTACACCCTACTGAATCCGGAGCAATCGAGCGAGCATTTAATAATAATAAAAAACAGATATCCGGAGAAAACAAAATCAATACCAACGTCGGCTGGTGAACTTTCGATCCGGTTTCGTTGGAATTCAGTCGCCATTGGTGAGGACTTTCTTTATTTTGGGGACCAGTTTCCAACACTATAAAAAAAAAACAAAAAAAAAAACATACCGATTAAGTAAACAAAGCAGCACACAGATAACACGTGCAGTCAAATTCTTAACGAGTTAGAGACAAACAATCCGAGAATCGCCAAGCGAGCTTTGGATTAATCACATACTTTCTAAATAGTTTAAGTTTTTGTTTATTTGAAGTAGATGGTTTAAACATGTGATCCCAAGAACTGCAAAGTAATGTTCATTTTGTTTGTGCCTTAAGTCTTTGGCAACATCTCGAGTTCTCGGCTGCATGCCTGTCTTTATAATAAAATAAGATTGCTTACAGTGAGATTCCGTAGCTACATGTTCCTGCTGAAATAAAGTCGGACATAACAAATAGATGAGCAACAAATAAAAGGAGCATAGAGGTTACAACAAATGTGAACAAGGTGGGGAAATCAAAACTTACCGACATCCTTGAGTTCGCTCGGCGATATTTTTCGAAATCCAAGCTGCCTTCAAATTCCTGCAAAAAAGCCGCAGCTTTAGGACAGCGCATCGCCTATATATGCCTAATAATAATGGTTCATAGCAATGGTTCTCAAATGGGGGTCCGCGGACCCTTTGGGGTCCGCGAAGGCGTTCTAGGGGTCCACGAAGCCCAGCCCCATCAGTCAAGCCCGGCAATAAAAATTGTCTTTTTTCAGATTGAGAAAAAACGTTGCAATTTTCGGGTGGGTTTTATTGTGTATATGTAAATAAGAGAAATCTTTTTCACACTAGCCCTTAGTTATATTCATTTATTAAATCGCTATCATAATTAACCTATATATTTCCTTTCCCCTCACCACGAACGGGGTCCTCCATTATCTCCACCAATCCACAAGAGGTCCGCGAAACATCAAGGGTTGAGAACCACTGGTTTATAGCATAAAAAATAACATAAGGTCATCATTGCCTTATCGGAAAAAAACTAAGCATGACATGAAAGATGTGCAAGAACTTACAAAGTTCGCAATTTTGTTTCCAACAAAATGGCGGGCGCCCATGAGCCAGTGGCGCGTATATACTCGTCACTTGACTCGAACGAACAAATGACCGCCATGAGGGCGTTAGACAGATGGGAAAGGGATGCCGACACTCTAAATGTAGCTGTAGAGAGATTTTAGCGAGGGTAAAGTCCTTCTACAGGGCTTACACTAGGGGGAGGCGCCGACAGGGCAAACAACAGCAAATCACTGGTGTCTGTGATAAACGGGGAGCGGCCCGGAACCTTCCTTGCATTTGTTCTTCAAGGCAAGGTCATCGTCGGTGTTGTATTGATTTCGACACAGATGCTGATGCTTGTGGCTACGCATCGACGTGACCAGAAGTGTTATATCTGAATAACTGTGATCATTTGCACAGGTAATATAGGCACCACGTCGGTGCATCAAGAAATTATTTATGTTTACTTTATCCCTCTCTCTCTCTCTGTCTTTTTTTATTTTTTTTTATATTTCTCGACAAGGGTTGACATCTCGATTAGTGTCTGATGCCGAAGCTATATGCATATGCATGTTCAAAGTAAAGCTTAAAGAAAACCAATGATCTCACGGGATCAGGTGACCACAGCTCGGCATCTTGTCTCCTGGACTGATGCGTCATCATGGACAGCTGGGTGGTGTTCAGTCGCCTCTGCGCTTGTTCTCGAATCCTGTTCACAACGGTGGTAGCACCCGGTTGCTGAGGGCCTCGTGCGTCCGGCACCGTGGTTCGACTGAGAAACTTGCGGTGCTTGTTCCTCAGCGCGTTTTCTCTGGGCACGGAGGCTCTCCTGGTATGTGTCGACCTCGTCGGAGGAAGCTGAGGCCTTCCCAAAGGCAAGAACCCTTCCTTGTCCACAAACACCTTCTTGTCAAACTTATTATCCCCCCGTGGCAAAAAGTTGGAAGCTGGCACGGCACCTCTTCCATTGACCGCAGGAACTCCCAGAAGACTGACGGTCGTAGTTGTCGTCGTCGTCTGCTCTTCGACCTGACTGTCGAAGCACTCGTCTTCGATGTCTTCGAGGATACCGTCCGTGTTCTCTTCGATTTCACGTATCTGGCTGTCCAGGTCCTCCCGATGTGCCGAGTGTCCAGAGGCCATGTCCAGGTCCAGGACTGGACCTCTCTCTTCGTCCCACCGGAGCATGGGCTGGTCGAGCTGGGTTTTTGGCATGGGGCTGTCGGCTCTCACAGAGTGGTGGCGTTGACCGTTGCTGTCTTGCGCGTGGCCTTCCTGTACGTGCACGGTCTGCACGAGAGGCACACGGGTGGCCTTAGAAGGCGAAGGTGGCGACGGGACGTCCCGGCTCGCTGGTCGCGGAGGCGGGGACGCTACGGGACGTGGTTCTACCGGCCACAGTAGCTCGGACTGACTGCGGGGCTCGAGGTTGAGGTAGGTCGCCGAGGGGTAGCGGGTGCTCACTGACGAACTGGTGACGTGCGCAGCGCTTTGACCGGTGCCCATGTTTGGGGAAGAGCGGTGGTCCTGTAAGAGAGGGAGTTGACATGTGTTCGTGAAGGAACAACATACTGATTTTGTCATTGCTATCTGTGTGATAGCGTGCACATGCCCATCTTTGTTGGGATGGGAATATTTGTGTGAGTGAAAAACAATAACTGACAGAATAAACTTTATGCATAGTATGGGAATATGTGTGTGATTGCAAAATAATAATTGACGGATTCAACTATATGCATAGTAGCAAATACTAAATCCAACCTAAAATGTTTTAAGGTTGGGGAAATAGAGGGTCTGACCGTAAAACGAGCCGGAAAACATTTAAGTCTGCACACAGAGCTAGACACCTTTTACAAAAGTAGCATTTTAGTGATGAATTTTATTTTGTGAAATTTCAACACGCATCTTCCTTCCTGTGAAAAATTGCTACTAGGTCCCTGACAACGTCAGTGAACTCCGACGTAGAAAGCCGAGGCGACCGAGATTTTAAAGCCCCCGTATCTGGGAAAATTGGCGCATTCTCTTCCCTCCTCCTCCAAAAACCCCTCTTTACCCTACCTCTAACTTCCGGTTTGCAACGGAGGCGCCCTCTGGATGTTCCCAAGCGTCTCGACGTCTCGGTCTGGAGCGGTGCGATGCCGATCGTGTGGACTTTTTTCGTCATATAAGTGTGGCAATGACCTCATTTAGAGCCCGCACTCGCATCCGACCACTCTGAAGCCGCTCTAGATTTGTTCCTCCAACCGTGGATCCCAAAAGTGCTTCGGATAATCGCTCCAATCGTCCCTAGCGAGTTGCATTATTTGTCAGTGTCTCGTGAAAGTCTGTTCACCCTTCGGCTTCACACAGGAATCCCATATCGTTCTTAATCATCATATCAAACCGCTAAATTGCAATTATGTTCTCCAGTTTTTCAGATGATTCACTACTCATTTTTAATGAGTGGAGATAAAGCATACTCGTGCTCGTCGCACTGACTTCACTCGCACTTTTGTTTAATCGGGGTATAGATACATCCACGTGCTCGCGTCCTCAGCCGCGAGAGCGTTGCAAGCTTATGAACTCTATGCGAAACAAAGTGTTGGGCCCACTGCTCTTTCTTGTTTTTCTAAACGATTTGACGGTTGATGAACGTATACACTGCCGGTTTTTTGCAGATGACTATGTGCTTTTTACTGAAATATCATGAAGCAATGACCAACTTAATTTAAACAAGGGCCTGTGTTTAATTTCTCAATGGTGTAACGAATGGCAAATGCTGCTAAACAGCTCGAAAAGTGTACAAATGAGAGTAACGCGCAAAAGGTCACCCTTGGAATTTAACTTTATTATGCAAAACTCCCCTTTACAAGTTGTGTACGAATTAAAATACTTAGCTGTCATTATCTTCTCGAACCTCAGTTGGAATAGCCACATATCCTGGACTGCTCAGAAGGCATCAGCAAAGCTATGGTTATTGAAGAGGCAGCTGAAGCACTGTACCCCTGCAACTAAGCTTGCAATCTACACGACAGCAATACGACCTGTTTTAGAATACGCAGATGTTGTTTGGGACCCTGCGACTAAACTTAATATTGATCGACTCAAGGGGGTACAGAAGAAAGTACTGCGCTTCATTTACAACGAATACAGAAGAATGAGCTCTATCACTAACTTGCACAATGCGTCGAAAATTGAGCTTCTTTCAACCCGGCGCGAAATTAATCGTCTAAAGCTTTTGTATACCATTGTACATGACTCATCTCGCCTTTCATTCGACAGATTTATGCAATATAACATATACCGTCACACACGACACAAGCAGTCCAACATAATTGTGGTAACCTTACAGCAGAATCCAATGTTTAAAAAACTACGTTGACAACATTACCAATGTCTCGTCCGTTCAGGAATTTGCCTCATCATTACAGCGTTATTTCTTAGATATGCAGTTCTAGATGCTTTTTTTTTTTTCTTTTTCACTAGCGTGTAATGCGGTTTTCTTCTTGTGTGTTGCCCTGTGTGCCCTCTCCTGCCTTGGCTGCCAAATAGCAGCCGGCAGTGTGTATAAATAAATAAAAAAAGCATGGTACGCGAGCACATCCACACTTGACGAGCGAGCGTCCTCCGCACCTCCGCACGCACCCGTAATTGGGAGCGACACCGATGCTCCAAGCACGAGCAAGAGCAGGCAGTTTTGAACGACGCTTCTTCCACGGGCGTCCGTGCCTGCCAAGTCGGCAGTGTTGTGATCACTCTAACATCGCTCCCTCTAAACAGCTGTCTTTTTGCATTCTGGTGAGCTTTATACAGAGCACCTGCATCGCATAACTTTGCGCATCCCGTTGGGTTGAAATCTTTCCGAGCGATTCGGTGAAGCAAAAATCTTCCTCCGAGGTACAATTTCCGTTCCAGAAGGAACACTGAAAGGCTCTTCGGCCGACTTTCCCATGGGCGCGGCAGCCCGTCAGCTGCGGAGTAGCAACAGCTTGGGAAAGTAATGGCGACCGGAAGTCCAAAACCGAAAGCAGAATGTCACGGGACGACTGGCTGTTCAAGAATGGCGCCACTTTTCCTAGGATAAAGGACCTTTACGAGAGTTTTTTTTGTAGCGCCATCTAGCGATGAAAGCAGCGAGTACTTGGTCGAAGGCACACGACGCAGTTACGAGCGCTTGCTGCGCCTATCGGGAGATAGCTCCACAAGTACGACCCTCAGGCGATACGGTCGTCTTCATCAAAGCCCGGCATATGAAATGTCAAAGGTGTTATAATTTTTCGCGGGAACGAAGCTATGCCTGTAAGCTTCATAAGATAAAATTGAGCACTAAAATAGTACTTTCATGATAATATTTAGGTCCCTGCGAGCAGGCGCTGATTTATTTGGCTTGTTTTGTACCATGCCCCCTTATACGTAATATGCCACCTAAGCTCAGATCTCAAATAATAATTTGCTCGAAGTAAGCATGTATTATGTTATTCGTTTTTGAGTGCAGCTCTTAGGCGACCGTTTTCAGGTTGAGCGGCGTCGGCGTCGGTATCAAGCATGACCACTATGCCAGTTTCAAACTTTAAGAACCGTAGTAAAAGGAGTCCGGCTTCTAGTGAGGCATTACTGATTTCCTTCTTTATGTTGAGAATTAAGATATACGTAGGTGAATTATAGATTAGATATATATTATCTTATTAAGACGTACCCATTCCAAACGCCAAGACCTTCACTTTTTCCTCCGATAAGCTAATCTCGTAAGAACTACTTCTCGGCGCGTATGAACAATGTGCAAAACTTGCTTTTTTCTTTAGGAGAAAGCGGATATAGATGCACAATTTTATTCTAGTTCACTGTTCTGTAATGCAACCGTTTTGAACGCTGTGTACTATAGATTGTCCTGTATACCATACTCCCACTCTTAATCTATGAACGCTTTCTTTAGCCATCAACGGCGTCCTAAAAGCAAAAATGAAATAAAACAAATACACGTATGAATTTGATAAAGGTGGAAGTTGAAATCGATTTTCGTGTAGAGCACTGACCCGTGCAAACTAAAAAAAGGGGCTCCCTTGTAGGGCTGCGTCCACTTCAGCAATCACATAATACAACATGTGTTCAATGAGGCTAGACACCCATATTGTTCATAATAAGCGGCACAAGATAAAGAAAATCGAAGATGAGTATTTTTTTAAATCTTCGTAGACATTTTTTTTTTTGCTTCGGTGTTATTTTTCATCGAGCGTGACCACTCCAACAGGGCACGTAAATGCGAGTACGCACCTCTTCACTGTTCTATAATATGCTTGTCTCGATTTTTTTTCTCTACGATAATATTTTTAGTTACGTTTATTCTATTGATTAGGCAATAGGCTATACAAAATCGAGAGTTAAAAATGTCTTCAAGGCCTCCGTAGCGAATTTCGAACGTTCTACTAACGGTTTGAAATTACTACTTACGTCCCCCCCCCCCCCCCCCCCCCCCCCCCCCCCGCGGTCCCTTCAAAAAAAGAAAAAAAAAAAAAAAAAAACGCAATCAAAAGCAAAATGAAGGCACACTGGCGCGCACAGTGTGCATAGACTCTTCGAGGAGCCAAACTTCTTTTATTTTTTACGAAGGCAACCTGGAGTGAACTATGTGACGCCCGTTTTATTGAAGCAGTCATGAGATGATACGGTAAACAGCGCATCGACACCGTCGATCAGAATCCCATACCCTCGAAGAAAGGTCTGCGAGTTCGCTGCTGCTCGGCCTTCTGGGTGCGCTCAAGCCAGTACCGCAAATGTTTTGTCTCCGCGTATGATGCGGTGGTGCGTGAAGCTGGCTACCTATGATTATAAACTGGTGTATCACCCTGGTAGAAGAAAAATAACAACAACAACACCAGAATGCCGACGTTCTGAGTCGGCTCACATTACATGACAGTGAGGGCAAACCGTGTCCTTCCGGGGACATGCAGATGATCGAGGCACTACCGGCGTCAGCTATCACGGCTTAACGAATTACAGGTGTGGCACTGCAAAACTCTCAAATCTTCAAATCTTTGCAGCAGAGAAATCTGAATCGCCTCAAAGGGGACTTGTTTTTTTTCATACGAGAAAAAATGCAGAGCTTTCAACCCAACGAGGATGCGTCATTTGGGAGTCAAAAGTGGTCGTCCCGTCATTAGTACGCCCTGAAACCAGAGAACTGCTCCATGCTGCACAGAAGTGCATCTTATGAATGAAAATGTCAGCCAGGCGTTATTTATGGTGGCCTGTAATCGACAAAGACATTGAGCGTGAAGTCGGAGCCTGCATGGTCTGCCAAGAATCCAGACCTGTTCCGTTGAAAGTGCCTATCTGGGAGCATGAATCTCAGCAGTAACACACCGTTCACGTCGATTTTGTAGGTTCAATTGATGGACACATGTTCCTCGTGGGTGTCGACGCGCATACGAAATGGCTTGAACTGAGAGTCATAACATCAGCAACCTCCAGGGCTGTTATATAGGGACTTAGGGCTATCTTCGCAACTTCTGGACTGCAGCGGAAGGTTGTATCGGATAATGGAAATGTTT